GCACGTAGGCTTAATATTTGCCTTCAGTGTCCTTTCAAGAGCTGCACCATAAACCAACACGATTGAGGTAGGCTTTGATTTTATACAACACAAAAAAGCATTAATGGGATACTAAAAGGCGAAACGATTTTTTCGCGTATCATTAAAGGACGATTTCACAATCCTGAAAACACAACTCTTAGAGCGACACGACGTTTGGTAAGCAAGCAAACGCTTGAAAAGAAAATGCGGGGGGAGACACATCAAACATCGTGACGTCATAAATTTTGAAGGCGTCTACTGGGTTTTAGGTAGCTTTTAATAGATTGAAATTAAACATATTGCCATCTGTGGGTGCCATTGACCTAGCATAAGAAGTTTTAGAAAATTCATCAAGCCAATGTTGCGAAAATGTGAAAAACACAATCTGAAATTTTCAATGTCACGCCCGGAGATTTCGGCATGAAATTCAAGATAAAAGTACAGCCTTGATTCTTTTTCATTTAATAATGAACTTACGATAATGAAACACGTGGCATTAGACTTCTAAGAGTGCAGTTTGTCATTCTAAACTAAGTCATCGTTTCTCTTTAGGGTCCCTTTAACTAAATATAGTACACATAATGTGAGGAGTACTATATGTGTTTCTTGACAAGTAGATAGCTGGAGCTGATACATGATGGCTAATGAGAGAAAAATCAAAGGAGTCTAGCAAGACGGCACACTGCGTGCCGCATTGCTCGAAATTGGCCAACACATTTTTGTAATGGCCTCCTCTACTGCCCACTCTCAATAGAATAATGCAATGAAACATCTATTGGTACCGAAATAACTTTACTGCAACGCATACACAACATTGAGAATACAGTAATGTAAACCTAACACATGTTCATGGCCATAATACATCGAGGACCAACTGTTGCATAGCTCCGATTGAGCTCTTCCTCCAATGTCGAGGGTTTGATCAGGGGTGTGATACGTGGCCACATATGTTCAGTGCAGTGAAATCAAGCTCTGCTTCAATTGCAATTCAGAGATGGGCTAGGCTTGGCCACATAAACAGCAAGTGGTGTACTATACTAACACGTAATGAATTACGTACTCTTAGTCTCAGTACAGCAGCATGAGATCTAAGCACATCTTATAACGTCACCAAAGCACATTATTATCAAAGAAGAGTAAAAGGCAGGTCACTTTACTTTGAAACATGTAATTGATAGCACGAAAAAAAAATTCAACTAAAGAACCACATATGCCAACTCTTTTGGCAAACTATAACTAAACTCACTGCTTCAGAGAAAAGACTAAGAAATTCCAGGCCTGCATGGAACGTGGAGCACAGTCGCAGAGTAAGCTGGAAAAGCAGCCTTCACTGAGCCCATCATAAACTCTCTTGAGCTGCCAGCAGTAAGTACAGTTGCGAGGTACGCCATAAATCGTAATCACTTTGCCAACTAGTGAAGTACCCACTGCATCACAATTCAGTGTGCAAAGTGCTAAGTACAGCACACTTTATTGATGCTGTGACTGATTAAGATGATGAATCATGGCCGAGTCATTTTTACGAAGTGGGAAGCTTCGAAACACCCGCTTGTTGTGCAGGTGCAATGTTTGGTATGACCCCAATCTTCTGCCACACGATTTTACATCCGTTAAGCGGTCCCTTGCCCAACTTGACACCTATAATATTTTTCTGAAGCAGTTTAAAGCAGTGGCATGGCTCTGTGATAAAGTACCTTATTCCCACACAGATTGCCATGGTTTGATTTTGGCATGAACTCTGTTTTTATCCAGCTCCAACGCATGCGCGTGATAGTTGAAAAAAAAAAAAAAAAAGAAACACCAAACGCAACAACTGTGGACAATATCATCACCCAGATCAGCTGCTGTTATGGGCTCATAATACATGACATTGTAAAGAAGTGAGAATGGTCTCTCAAATAATGTCATAAAGAATAATTCACAACAAGAAAGTGAATGCACGATATGAATTGGCCTTTAAAGCAAAAACACCGTGTGGCTCATATTCAAGTAACTAGTCAGGAGGTCCTACTCAATTGAAACAATACTTTGCAAATCACTTCATTCAACGCAGTAATGGGACAAGAACACGTAAGCACATACACGCTCAGCCATGTAAACGCATCGCCTCATGTTCATTAAAATAAATTTGAAGAAGCTTTGGATCCTGTTTTCACACACCCTAAAGGCACACACACCCCTACAGGTACTTGTCTTGGGGGCTAAGCGGTATATTTCATTACAGCATGTGCAACCATCAATTTAGAAAATGATGGCCTCTAACCTTCCTCATCATGCCACAAAGTGAGATACCGTATTGATCCGTGTAATGAACCCACTCGCATAATGAATTCACCCCTCTCTTCAGTCCTTGAAAAAAAAAAGAAAAAAACTTTTTAATGTATCTGCTCATTTTATTTCGGTATGACAGCCAGTGCCATTGATAATCGAAACAATGTTAAATAAAGTCAATATATAACAAAATGATGCAACAAAAGTCAAAACATAGTTTAGCAACCATGCTAAACAGTTGCGAGCAGCCCGAGCACAGACGACATCAATCAACATTTGAAGTCGTGCCTTTTGCGGCAAAGCGCTATCTGCCGAATGAAGGAGAAACCTTTTCGATAGCGGCACGCAGGCACCGCGGCGCAAAAACAAAGCGCGTGACCCCTGAAATGGCAGGCATGCAGTGTAGAAACATGCTGCGCCCCTGCCATCTCAGGGGCCATGCAAAGCGCAACCACCCACTGCATCGACAGCGCGTCGTGCACCCGCTAATACCGCAACGTTCGTGCGCCGGCATCCAATGCTGCGGTTTTGTTGTCAGATTGTCCTTGTGAACTTAGTTGGGACAGCTGCTGCGCAGGGCGAGTTCGGCCAGTACGCTAGCTCCACGGCTGGTTACAAACAGTATGTGCTGGAGCATTGAAACCAAGCGGCTGGACAACACTTCAGCGTTGATCCGTGCGCTTTCGTTACAGGAGGAAACAAAAAAAGAGCTTCGGGCTACAAAAGATTTGTCGCGCATTTCACGATCAAAGCCGCCAAGTGAGATTTTCGCTGTTATAACTCCCGTGACTTTTTTCTCCAGCATAATGATCCCTCCCCACAAATCGAAGTCAACATTTCTGAAAAAAAAAAAAAAAGTTGGGTTCATTACACAAGTAAATACGTTATATGCATCACTTGTCCTCTCAGACATTCTTATTACGTTCAGTAAAAGTGTACACACCAAATTAAAAACTGCCCTGCCAATGGGAATCGTCACATGACACATAAAGCTGTCTTTTGCGTTCTTTGCAAAAAAAGAAGCTTTTGCATCTCTTTTTTGTTGTTCCTTTACATTTCCTGGCAGAACACATTCCCCTACTGATGTTGGTTTCAGTGGCGCAGTGTCAGGTTTTACTACAGCACCCGCAGCTATCTGTAATTGGATAGAACTTTAAAAAGGCGGCAAGATCTTGATTCGGGTGGTTGATTCATAGTTATTAAAAAGCACAACAGAGACAAACACAGAGAGGAGGAAATGCATAATCACGTCACAAGTACTAACTAACAACAGTTGTTAGTCAGTGCTTGTGATGTGACGTCGCGTGTCTCTTGTTCCCATCCCCTTTTTATTCGTGCTGCAGATTAGGAAGGCAAAAAAGGCCTCATTCAGATGGCGAAAACAAAGCAGCCAATTGCTTCCATGACTTCAAATGGTCCCAATCATGTACTTGGCTATATTTTTGATTGCAGGGTGAAAGACTGTTTGGCTTACGACGTCGAGAGGGCGTGCTCATTGGTGCAGATATCGATACATCTGCCTTAGAGATGGAAAATACCGCTCCTTCAAAAGTTGCAGCCACCTACTGTCCCAACATCACACAGTTTAGACCTAATAAAATATGCGAGCTCCACCAACAGAATCGCAGCGTGGCTGCCTTTCACCAGAGAAATACTGTCGTGCTGGGAGGTTTCTGCTTGAACCGTGAGCAATTTTTCTCTACAAATGTAAATACTAAGCATATTAAACATAAAAAGTTTATCGTTACAATCTTAAACATCATGCTGGGCTGTGCCCCGTTGTGAGAATCCCCGAAGAAATTTCCCGGGACATTCAAGTCTCTAACCTAAGACCCGCCACACAAACATGTATCTGTATGGAAAGTCAAATATATGATAACTCCCGAAAAGAGCTTGAAGCCATTAAAATGAGTTAATGTTGTGCAAATTTCTTGTGAGAGGATTATCAATGACTGCGGACTCAGTTGACACTTTTCCTTAGCTTGTTGGTGACTACAGCCAGCTTTTCTAGAGCTGAAGCGCAAAAGAAGTATTCAACAAAGAGTCAGTGCCTAGTGCACCGACTTATAGTACTATTACATTCAGAACAGGTACGAGCATCATCGGGCAAAACTGCTACACTTCTATAAATTGCCAAGTCGCGCATAAGGGTGTTGTGTTGAGTAAAATTCATGGGACAAAGGTGACACTGGAAAAGTCTCTTGCCATTAAAAGTCACTAGCACGTGCACTGATTCTCAGACAGCCACGAGTAAGAACGTGGCTGTGATCCCATACTTGCATAGAATTTCACACAATTTAAAAAAAATTGGTCATAGGGCCGGGGTCTCTGTAGCATTTTCTGCACCGAATAAGTTGTCGCAGTTTTGTGCAAGAAATAGTTCTGTAAGAAAGCCTCCCAACGAGTGTAAAATCAATCACCGAAACCAATATGTTCAATGTGCGAAGAGTGCAGTATATGACGTACCTTTGACCTGCAGGTCTAAGTAACGTCGGACAGTCAGGCAGATGCCTCAAGGTGCCATTACTTGAACACAACCAAAAAGCAAAAAAGGGCTCTGATGGTTTCCTGGCGACTCATGGCGCAGAATGCAAATGGATGTGGGTGTTTGATAAAACAACTGTATTGACTACTCACCCTAGCAATAGTTTAAGGCTCATCGTTGAGGCGGCGGCGATAGCAAATCAAAGCTGCCTCAGCAAGCCATTTATCACACTAACAAAAAAAAGTACTGGATTACTTGAATTTACCGAAATGTGGCTGTGGCTTTTTTATGTAAAATTCACTGCTGCTTAGTTTTATTTTGTCTTCATCTTTGTGCGTTGATAGATATTATTGTGATGTCATGTGACAGGTATATATTTTCGGTGCTTTGTAATAAAATTTTAGTTGGAAGTTAGCGCTTGTTCTCATTATCCCTCTTCGTCCGTTGTATACCTTTTCGCGCTTCAGCTGCAAAAAACATGGAATGCCAACTAGCCCTCTCCCACACATAGCCAGCTGCCTAGTGCCATAAAGTCAGATACTCGCATCCTTAGCCTTCTCAGACATTACTGTTACGTTCAGAACAGGTACAAGCATTATCGGGCAAAGCTGTCCTGCCTCTATGAATTGCCAAGTGGCGCATAAGAGTGCTCTGTCGAGTGAAGTTCATGGGACAAAGGTGACACTGGAAAGGTCTCTCGCCGGTGTGGATGTGGACGTGCTCGGTCAGGTGGGCCGTCTGCTTGAAGGCCCTGCTGCAGTAGCGGCGCTTGTGAGGGCGCTCACCCGTGTGAATTCTTTGGTGGCACTGCATGCGCTGCTTGAAAGGTGTGGTGTAGCCGCACACAAGACAGCGCTTCAGGTGCAAGCCTTCGTCAGAGCCCGGAGGATCGGGTTGGCCATGGTGGAGTGGCACGGAAACCAATTCTGCACAAGTAATGTTGCCACATTTTTAGCAGAGAGTAAAGGTAAAGACATGGAGGTAGTGCAACGTGCAACTTGCTACACTACACAGCAAAACGTAGGGAGGGATATAATTACAAAATGAACTTGCACAAAAACAAGGGAAAGTGCACAATCTTTATCATCTGTGAGGATTTTTTTTTTACAGTGAAAGCTGTTATCACATCACAACAAGGGCCGATTCTTGTGCCGTAGTTGTCCGCCGCCACCAGTGTTCGTAACCGCTATTGTGGGAAATAATAACTAACTAACCAAATAAATAAATAAAGAAATAATGCTGAGGATAGAATGGGAATCAAAGCCGGGCCCTCTGCTTGGCAGCCCAGGACTCTACCACGGAGCTAGTCTTGTGCTCGAAACTTCGTTGCAAACTGACCCTATGCAGGCTTCAATGCGGGGTAGGGAATCACGTTAACGTGTGTAATAAAGCATTTTAAAACAGTGAAGTAACAGCCAGGCTTCCCAGAATCCGAATTGCAAAAAAAGTGTGCCCCTCAGTGCTCCACACCCATTACAAAAACCTCATTAATAATTCTTCATCATCGTCAGTCACAGCATCAAAATAAGTGCACATACGCATTTCCTTACAAGTGCGTAACGGGTACCACACTTTTTCGAAGAATAAGGAATAATGGCATAAAAGACACTTCCCCACTACACAAAAATCGTAATCTATGGCATAGTGGGTGCCATGCACATGTGCTAGTAGTATTTGCCCAAAGAGTGTTTAAAAAAGGCTCTAGAAATGTCGCTCTTCCAGCTTTCACTGTGGCTGTGCTGCATGTTCCATTCAGGCCTGGATGATATCTGAAGTTCAACGTCCCGAAACCACAACATGATTATGAGAGACGTCGCAGTAAAAGGCTACGAAGAAAATTTCAACCCTGTGGTATTCTGCAGTGTGCACTGATATTGCCCAGTACACGAACCTCCACCATTTTGCCTCCATCAAAATGCAACTGTTGGGACAGAGATCCAACCCACTAACCTCAGGTCGGCGGCTGAGCACCGCAACCACTTATCTACCATGGTGAACAATGCTTCTTTTTTTTGTGTAAAAATGTCATTTTAGAATGCAGCCACACACCTTAAAGGCTTGTTTGGTTATACTAATCTGCACAGGTTTACCACACTTATGCTCATCAATGAGGGCAATTCTGAAGATGGACTTTAGCACGCCTAAAGCTACAGCAAAGGCAAGCATGAAGAATGTTGGCATAGTTTGTGTTTGTAGCCAAAATTGTCCATGTAATATGTGTCTACATATAGCCAAGTCAAAGATGTGATAGACGTATGCTAAAGCTCCTTGCTCTGGGAAAGTAACGACACTCTCCTCCACACGCGCATTTCGTTCTCGATCTTCTCACCCGCCTTCAGCGTGCGCTGCGCCCAGCTCCAATTTTCGTCAAGGCTTCCGCGGACGCATCGCTGAATTCAATAGGGGCCCATAATTTCGGGCCACTTTCACCCCCTGGTAATGTAGCCCATTTGTGAAAATGGTGATAACGAGATAGATAACACTAAAATGAACTTTTATTAGAAGATTAGTTGCTTCCAAAAGATGTGTAAATGTTGCATGCTACTTTAAAAGCACCTTCATGAAGAGTTCTATAATGCAGGTTTTTTTTTTTTCTTTCAGATGGTAACATGCTTTAAGTTTGCAACACACATAGTTTTGCTTGTGGCAACTACTATAGACATAAAAAGGAGCAGGCAGCAGAAACCACTCACTACTATCACCTCGAGGTTCATTTCAAGGTCCAGGGGGCTTGCTGTGCTTCACAGCAGGGTAGCGGGTAAATAATGTTCGAGCTGCGTCGGGTTTCACGTTTTTTTCCCCCAAATCCTTGCAAAATATGTGGCTAATTTCGTTCGTCAATTAAAAACAGCAAGAACTTGTAGAAAGCAGACAATCATTCAGGCACAATAAATAATTTCGTTAATAAAATGACAGGTGACCAAAAGAGAAGCACTGCAGTGCTAAAGATTATTGGTACACAACCTTCTCCGAGTTATTATGTAACAATCATAATACTGCTAAACCTTTGTGGTCAAAACTCACCGAAGCTGTAATTTAGGCTCATGTTACATCGATTGAGAAAGGTCACCAAAAACTGCAGAAAGGTGATTTTAAAGCACTCACTGCAAGAGCAAAGATTTTGGGCTTTAGCCTCGAAGTCAATATCACCAGCAAGCGAATATGGTCACGTGACCACCCTATGCACGTCACCAGTATGCGTAAAAAAAATTATAATCGGTACCCAGTCTTGCGTGCGTGGCATCCAAATTCAAAAGTAAATTAATGAACAGAAAAATATCTAAACTTTTGCCAGCTGATGCTGCTCATCTGCAATATCACAATTCTTGCTTAGCATTGTGACGAAAGCTGTAGATGCATCGTGAAACACGAAATATGATCCTCGGCGTCCCGCTTTGTTGGGAACAGGCGATGCAAAAACATCCTCATCCCGAGATGACCTCACCATATGACGGCATGAAGACGTCACATGTCGCAAAATTTGTGGTGTCATAATGGCGATGCTTTCATCACGTGCCATCACGTACCTATGCCACATGACATAACGGCTCACTTTCGCTATCAGTACGTATTTTTTTCGACAATTTTTTTCGGCAGCAGCTTGTTTCCCTTTTTTCTTTTTCTAGCACCGGATTGCACTTGTTACATTATTTTGTGTGTGAATACTCCTTCCCCCACCCTCATAAAAAAAAGAACCTCAATTAGTGGCCATTGCCAATGTCAGCTCGATCTATTCATCCATTCCATTTTTTTACGCATTCATTTTCAACAGATGTTAACAATCACGATATGCGCGTTCAACAAGCTGTGTCATAGCAAGTAACTGTTCGCCAGCAGAAAGCAGCTTCTGTAGTTAATTTCAGACTGAATAACAGTTGCCGAGGTGCGATTTCATGGAGTCTCAACAGAATAATAAGAATATTGAGGCAAACCATTTTTTCAAGCAACGCACAGTTAGTCGGAAAAAAAAAAAAAAAACATGCTCATCAGGCGGGAAGAATACTTGAAATACATACAGAATTCGACGATGCTTTCGTACGAGCAATAAGAAAAGCGCCGTACCTCGCAAAGAACATGTTTTTTGACGGAACTAAGCTCTTTTGGCCCATGTAGTGCAGCGACTGCTTCTCAAGAAAGTTATCGCGCGTACGTTCCATATCGCGCGTACGTTCCATACCTTAAAAAAAAAGGCATAACCATTTGTATTCTAGTCGCATTTGTTATAGGCACAATCGCACGACATGGCACCCGAAAACAAAGCGCACGCAATGTTCGCCTTGCGACCTACACCCAGCTCCAGCGAAAAATGGCGCGAGCGAAAAAGATAAATATGAGCACAGCATGAGATTTGCCCGTCTCCAAGGGCAACCGCATAAGAGACCAATAATTGTGCACAAACAGCGACAAAAAACAGGAGGACCCGAACAGGGCGAGGAGAAAGAGAGGAGGTCGCAAGCACAACGGCGAGTACAATGGACTGTGTTACTTTCCCAAAATCAAGGGGCTTTGACATATATGCATGCCTGCTCTGCCACCTGGAAGAAAGCACAGACAGAATGGAACTGTCCTTATAGAATGGAAAGTTGACTTGTATTCAATCAGTAATTGCTGCCAATTATATTTATATTGTTCTCAGAGAGTACTTGTTGCCTGAATAATATTTAAACAATAGCAAAAGCACACTTGTGTCATAAGCAGCAAAGTTTAATAACTTGCATCTTTAAAAGGAGTTGTGACCAAGTGAAGCTGGAAATACGGCTAGCTATACGTACATGTTTGCATAGGCACACTGTTTATTAACAGGAAAAAACTGGATTGGGCACACCAGATTGAGCAAGAATAGGCTAATTCTTCTCAAGCAGTTGCCCAACAAGTGCTGTAGTCACTTACAACCTAAGAATAAATGAATTACGTTTTGCTGTCCCATGCGGAATGTACGCTCGACACACAACATTTGCTGTCCCACGCAGACATAATTTGAATAAGAGTGCCATCGAATTGCAACAGCTGATTTACGATGACGTCAAGCCCTTCTGGCGTATTTGAAGCAGATGGCTTTTCGACACAAGCATGAGTTCAAGTCACTGGTCCGAAGTCAAAAGTTTTGCTTCCCGGCAAATTTCGACTAATATTTGGACTTCACTGCTCAGTTGGATGTAACACTTTAACAAAAGATGAAAAACTTTCAATACTCACTGCTGAGCTGAATGTAACACTTTAACAAGAGATGAAAAAACTTTTAATTTGCAATGTGAGTAGTATTTAAATTGGTAAAGAAAATTAACTTATGGTTTGAACAGAAACTACCACGCATGGCTTCCTTGTACAGACAAATGGCAGCTGCGTCGTAGTACTGCAGACTGTGCTTGAGTCTAATACTGATGTTGCAACAGACTACAAGGTGTGCCTATACAGTTTTGTCCTTGCACTTGATTGAATAAATATTTTAAAAAGACAGCTGCAACTACTTCAGATGCACCTTGAAAGTTAACAAAGCACTACAAAGAATGAAACACCATAATCAAATGAACAGAGGTGCAACACAGAAATCTATCATATCTACTTATTTCTTTTGCACCACAACAATGACAAAAGTGTTGACCTTCAAGAAAAAGGAAACAAAGCATACAAATGTAAGATGTTTTAAAACATCATGCTATTGTTAACACACCAAACAAATTTCACAGCTATTTATCTTGTGACAATAGCAACAGGAGCAGCATCTCAATACAGTGAACCAATTTCATGTTTTACAATTTCAATATGATCACTTCTTCAAAGTCCTATGACCTGCAAGTGGGTCGTGACCCTTGAATCGACAATAAGGTTTGTAGAAAGCCGCAATACAGTGATTCTCTGTCACAAAGCTTTCTCTGCCGAATATTGCCAAGCACATTTAACATTCTCTTCTCGCCAAAATACGCTTCAAAGACCAATTCTAAGCACTGATTTCCAAACCGAAGCAAACATTTAAAGGAGCCCATAGAAGTTGCATGGCTTTACAGCCAGTAGTGTTGTTTGTTAAAGTCACAAGCTCTAAGGTGTTTTTACATAAGTGTTGTCATCATTGCTTCCATGGTGTTGCTTTTGCTGGCCAATGTAAGAGTCATCTGCAAAAAATTAGACCATCAAACCATAAGTATTACTGCAATAAAAATTCAAAGCACATGCAACAATCGGACTTATAGTGTACTTAATGTGTCAATGCATCAATAATGTTGCTTGTAACCTTGCCTCTCTACCAACTGTCAAATCTTCCACAGTGGCTTAATGGCCGGGGATTACAGATGGACATGAATCGGAGTAAGATAGGCTAAAGACACAAAGATGCTTATGTGATTTAATCCAGGTAGATCTCATGAAAATTGTAACAAAGACATGTCCTTTTGTCAAAACATTCACTCCCGCCACATTCCCTGTTCTTTCTAAACTGAATCCAAACCTCCATTTTCCCCTCCATTCTGTATTGCTTCGGTATAACCACAGCAATTCATATTAAAGGGACAATACAACACTTTCCTAGATATCACTGAATGGCCTTACTATAGAAGTTATATTGTCTGACTAACCAGCAGCAGCAACAATTCTAAAAATACATTCAGCATGAGTGGAATTACGGATAATTTGTAGCATGTTTCAAGTGCCTTTTGTTCCTTTTTGTTACAGCGAATGCACTGAAGCTTAAATTGTGGCAGGATGACAAGGGGGCAAAAGACTATGTCCATACAGCAGCAATCACCATGACCTCAAACAATTCTTTTACAGCGAAAGCTGTTATGAGATCACAACAAGGGCTATTTTTGGTGCCGCAGTTGTCCCCCACCATTGCCACAATCCCCCGAAATAAGGAAGAAAATTAAGAAAACATCCAGAATAGAACGGAGTTCTAACCTGGACCCAGTATTCTACCACAAAGTCATGCTGGTGCTTAAAATTCCTTTGCATTTATGCAGATGTAATATCGTGAAGGAATAACGCTAACAAAGCAATATAGTGTGGTAGAAGAGTAAAATAACAACCAGGCGTCACACAATACGAATTGCATAACGATTGGGCTATTGAATGCTTCCAACCCATTACAAAGGGCTTGGCAATAGTTCATCATCATCAGCCACTGCATCAACAAAGTGCAAATGGTGCCTTGAAAATGCATTCCGGGTACCTCGCTTCTCCACAGAATGACATAGTGGGGCGCATCCCAACTTGACAAAAATTATGATTTATGACATAGTGGGTACCTTGCAAGTGCAGCTGTATTGGTAGCGTAGCCCCAGGAGAGTTTACGAGCTCTATGAAGGTCACTCTTCCAGCTTTTGCATGTGACTGTGCTGCACTTTCCATGCAAGCCTAGTGTTTTTTTTTTCTTTCTTTTTCAGAGTGATTTTCAGAGTGATTACGAGCATGCTGGTGTAATTCTATATAGTGTATATATCCTAACAATACAAAGCAAACCACAGGTACGTTACATCCCCCTATGGCACCTACGGTCACTAAAGCTATATTTACACCACGAACAAATCACAATTTAACCCCGAGGATCACAGACTACATCACCATTCGTCACCCGTTTCGGCCCTGCGAAGTGATTCGTGAAATGATGGAAGCCCTAGTCACGGTTGGCATCCTCGGAAAGCAATGCTGAAATCCTCTCTTGTAGCATGAATTCTTTCGTGTCGTGCGAATGCTGGCTACGGAGGGATCACAATAACGTCACATGTCACGTGACTAATTCGCCCGCGATCACGTCCGTCGTGCGAATGCATCTTTAACCATGATGCTCAAACCAGCCAAGGGCTGTAAGCCAAACTGCACTTATGTCATTATTTGTCAAGAGAGGAGCAAGCACCCAACTTAGAAACTTGATTGAAAAACTTGGAGGATGCTTATGCTTCACCTTCAACAGTAGAATGCAACAGTGCAATCAGACCCTGTTCACACCGCGTCCTCAATCACTAGCCTAGCTTCGCTTCTCAGTGAAGGTGTGCCCTGGGGCCCACCTAAAACCATACCGCAAAAGGACAAACGTCTGTACGCGATACGCTGGTCGCTACTACAATGCCTACTGCAAGAGCCCTTGCAATGTACCCACAATATGCGCACCCGTAAGACAATGCGTGAACCTACGCAGCTGCTCACTTTGTCGGTATTTCTGCCAGTAATGACGATTGAATATGTCGTGGTGTAATTCACATGTTTTGACGCCTGGCGCACTTCTAAGCTCCTGCCGCCTAATATTACATGCGTTAAGAAGATTCCTCCCACTACACTACATTCGCGCAGTGTTTTTTTGCAAGCAGTTTCAGGCAATCACATGCCTCTTTGGTAAAACGCCTGGTTGCCACACAAAAAGCTCAAGTTCAATTCCCACTTGAACCGAAAGATTTACAGAGAAGGCTGTTACGAGATCATGACAAGGGTCGCACGCGCCATAGTTTTCCGCGGCAGCCGGTGTCCGTAACCACTACCGCGTAAAATAAAAAAAATCTAAGTAAATAAAAAACACCAAGGACACAATGTGATTCGAACTGGGTCCCCTGCGTGCCATTCCAGTATTCTATCACTGAGCCACGCCAGTGTTTGAAACTACGTCGCAAACTGACCCCAGGCAGCTTGATAACATATGGTAGCGCAGACAAACGACACGGACAAAAGAAGGCACATTCAAGATAACATAGCACTAACTTTCCAACAACAGTTTATTACACGCAGATACCCCTAGTATATGAACTCCACCACACCATGCTTCACATGTGCATAGTTCTCACAACCATGAATTATAAGTGACGCGCATGTATCAGCACATTACAACACTATACTTTCCCACTTTTTTGCTTTTTATTTCTTTCTTTTTTCTTTTCTCTCGTGAGTAACCACAAAACGATTATCGTGAATACATGTAATCAATTTTCTTATTTGTAAACTTCAAAGATGAATCGCTCACACACGCATCACCAAACGCTGAAATTCTGCCAGCCTCCATTATCAATCGCGTCATTTCGCACCTACTCCTATTCATAATAATCGTTTCCTTGAATGCATTCAGTCTGGATGCATTCTTTAGCACTGAAACGCATAAAGAAGGTGTACTGTTCCGAGTGATAGTGTCTGAAAAAGACACATGGCAGAAGGCTGTAGCTGTGTATCTGCAAAGAACATTAAACTTGCTTGACATAAATGACGCCTTCCTGACAAAAAGTTCGGAGCAGGTGATAAGTTTCATCAGGGAACCAAAAAAACCCAAGGCTAAAAACGTTTTCTGCTGATATAAAAGATCTATACTATTCTCAGCCACCATCAGCAGTATTAACATGTGTTGGCAAATGTATCGATGAGTACGGTTCCGTTAGATTTAGCACACAAGCGGGTACATTCGTCGAGAGTTTCTTGGAATTGCTTCGGTATTACTTGTCGTCAACGTTTATAAAAAACAATGGTACTCTGTACCTGCAAAAACAAGGAGAATGCATTGGCTCGTGCTTAGTACTAGTTTTGAGTAGGTAATTTGTTTTTACCTGGACAGGGATCCATCATTAACTGGACAGGGATCCATCATTAACTGGACAGGGATCCATCAGGGCACCTGAATGAATACAATGTTGTGAATGCATTTAGGTACGTCGATGACTTTTTAGTTTTTTTCTATGACAGAACTGCCGATTTTACCACTCAATGTATTAGCGTTTGTAGCATTTTTCGTGACTGTATCAACCCACTTGAAGTGACTTTTGAAATGTCATGTGACGGAAGACTCGGGTTTCTTGACATTAGCTTTCAATTCTCTCATGAAAAGACATGCCGGCGTTACGAACCCAGAGCAAATAAGCCATTGCTACAGTTTCACTCCGCGCATACAATACTTGTAAAACTAGGCATTGCGAAGATGTGCTTGAGTGAGGCACTAAAGAAATCCTGCTGTACCTCATGGATGAAAGCTTCAGGCAACAGGTCTCGAGGCTAAGCGATGCCGGGTACCCTAAGAGCCTCGTCGTGTCAGTTGCAGAAGGATTGCACAGGAAAGCGCTGAAGAAAGGATGGGAAGAGACGAATAGGGCGAGCTCAAGAAAGGAAAATTTTGCCGTCATTCCATACATGCATAAGTTCTCTCACAGGATAAAGAAGATTGCGGAAAAATGTGGCACCAACGTAGTTTTCTCAGCACCCAATAAGTTAGCAAGTCTATGCAGAAGCACAAGACCAGACAAGGGAAAAGCGAATGTATGCCAAAAGAAGCAAAAACCTATTTGTTGAATGCATCATGTGTGTTGTCTATCCGATTCCACTTCCTTGTGGAAAGTCCTATATCGGACAGACCGGTAGACGCATAAATGATCGCTTGTGCGAGCACAATAAAAAGTAAATAGTGTTGTTCCTGACGGTTTTCTTTTTCTACAGTGCCAGAGATGTGATTGCACACCCAAATTCAAGGAAACAGTTATTATGAACAGGAGTAGGTGCAAGATGACGCGATTGATAATGGAGGCTGGCGGAATTTCAAGCACTTGGCGACATGTATGTGAGCAGTCCATCAGTGATGTTGACAAGTAAGGAACTTGATTACATGTATTCGTGATAAGCATTTTGTGTTACGCATGGAGAAAAAGAGAAAGAAAAAGCAAAAAGAAGTGGGAAAAATATAGTGTTGTAATGTGTTGATGCATGTGCATTGGTTATAATTCATAATTGTGAGAGCTATGCACATGTGACGTATGGCGTGGTGGAGTACATACACTAGGGGGATCTGTGTGTAATAACTGTTGTTGAAAGTTAGTGCCGTGTTGTTTCAAATGTGCCTTCTCTTGTCCATGTCCTTTGTCTTCTCTACCATATATTATCATGCTACCATACCAACAAACCCAGATCTTCACCTTCATTGACCCCAGGCAGGCTTGATGTCGGAAGGAATCGCGTTAGCATGAGTAATAAAGCATTTTATAACAGCAAAGGAACAACCAGGCATTACACAATGGAAATTGCAAAACGAGAGGGTCGTCAAATGCTCCGGCCCATTACTAAAGCTTCAGGCATAATTATTCATCGTCGTCAGCCACAGCATCGAAAAATGGCACACAATTCCTTGCAAGTCTCTAGCGGGTACCACACTTCTCAGAAGAATGACGAAGGGTGGCATAGTAAATGCCTTCCTACTACATAAAAATAATGATAAATGATGATATGGATATCTTGCAAGTGTGCTTGCAGAAGTAAAGAGTGCTTAAAAAGGTTCTGAAAGGCCGCTCTTTCAGCTGTCACTGTGAAGTGTGTTGCGTATTCCGGGCAGGCCTGGCATTTTTTTGTTTTTTTAATCAAGTTGTTTATTTCATTTGCACTTTCTTGATTTTTCCATCACAAACAACGCCAATTTTTCCCTCACAACCAACGACACTGACCCCACTATTTCTGCAAAACAAGCTTTTTAAAGCGACAGTGTTAAAAATCCACGCTCCATGCTGCACTATATTGTTTCACTGACATGCACAAAGCTGCCTCATCTACCGAGAATTTCCGAACATGTTCAAAAACTGTTGCAGGGCACTTTCAAAGAAGAATTACCATTCAGAGGTCTACAAAATAAACAGGCCTAATCGGTAACTTTTGTATATATCACATGCATAATTGGTGACAGTCAAGCTGGCAATATGTGAGAGTTTGTAGTGCAGAGAAATTTCCACTGAACAACATAGATGAAGACTGTATAGGAAAGGAAGGATTGTGCAAAAAACACACCATAGAAAAAGACGACGATACCTGCATAAAACATTTCCCTTTTCTATAGTGGGATGTGTTTTCTTAACAATCCTTCTTTTCCGAAAGAATGCACCAACTAGTCCCTAAACGTGTGCTATGGCCGTAGGTAGGCCACATTAAGTACATTGTGTGTCATGAATTTTTGTCTGCAGTATCTAATGCACATTATTTCCAAAATTGCAAAAAAAAAAAAAACAGATTTCTCTTTCTCATATTCCAGTGCCACTTAAAAATCTTGCTCTGCAAGAAAGCCTTACTCTAACCATCCATAACATGTTTCCAAAGTTTCTGTACATAATAAAGGTAAATGCAAAAGAAGAGTGATCAAGTATTTGTAGGGCTTGACCAACTATAATGACTGAAACTTGAGTATGGAGCACTTGTTCGGTAGCACTTGTTCTTTTTCAGCTCATGAAGTATTACAGCGCAAGAGAGATATTTCACGATTCCTCCATTAAGTGGCTAGGTAAAGACGGCTGCAGTTGCTCTCCACAAAGGGATGACGGTGATATCTGAGGAGTAGGTCCGATTACGAAGGCGCAGACGCTATCTCATGGACGTGTGCTAAGCAAAAACATGAGACATGTTTTGTTCCTCAACCTAAAGCAGGGTCAACAGCAAACGCTGATTTCTGTAACTCGAGGAATTCTTCGATGAATTCTCACTGGCACTTCGCCGGCATGACATCGCACCGGCAGGACAGCGCAAATACGGTAAGAACGCGTCTCTCTCTCTCTATTTTTTTCCTTTGATGTATGGTCTAATCAAATGTCAGAGTCTATCGTTGCATACAATCACTGCGAAGGTTATCTCAACGTTTGTTGACGAAAAATTCATCGGGCCCCACGGACGCAAGCCCTCACTTCGGCACACATTCTAGTCCGCAAGCACAGCTGCAAGATTTGTTAAATTTACTAGATAACAGGGGCTTAAATGAAAGATTCCGAAACGCAGCAGTCATATAAAAAGCGAGTTACTGCGTTTTGCAGCCGAGTGCGAAGCATTTCACTTCTTCTGCAAACGAAGTAGCTGCCGACAGCAACACAGCAACGAACACCTTTGCGACAGGTGACCACCTAAAAATTGTAGCCACTGAATCACGAATATCCCCGCCCGCAGTAGACTAATCATAAAAGTGCACATTTGCTGCACTGCTGTGCAATTCAGAGATGTTCTTCAAAAAGGATACCGTCGTCCGAGAGGACATGTCGACGAGCCGGCCTTTTCACTCACTCCGGTAACACTTGAACACACAAAGCAAGTTTGATACACGTTGCACACAAAACAACACGAAATACGGCACGTTGTCGGTGTTCTCTCTCTGAATTGAACTGTTCCACGCGGTACTTTTTTGTTTATGCGTTGTTCTTGAAACGATGCGTTGCTGCTGCTAGTAACGATGGGGCTTTCTTAGATGCCTGTCAGAAAAAAAATAAAATAAAACAAAGTGCGATCGCGTGAAGTGCGAAAAATTGTTTGCACTGGTCTGTCTTAACGAAAACGTCACATAAAAATAATGTTGTAAAGAAAACAACAAAACAACCTTTACTTCAGCGGCCGCTACAGCTGCAAGTCCCCCCCCCACCCCTTTTTATCTAAAAAATAATTGAAATAACAGTAAATACCAAAAAACTCGTCAAAATAAACATTCTACGCTTGTGCACGGGACACATGTAAGGGGTCCGTTCGATTCGCCTGCACCACGTGAACCAGTTCACAAGGTGCTGCACCTTGCCATTCGTTTCAGCGGTGTAGAAATGACGGCCTCTGAACCCTGCCATTCGTTTCAAAAGGTACAGAAGAGGTGTAGCACTGGTTCACGATTTTCTTGCACCTTCTACGCTGACGGTGCCGGCTCGGTGCAGCCGCGCGTGCTGCTGAGCAGACGACGCAGCACTTAGGCGTAGGTGCGGTATCCGCCTCTACTAACGCGGTGTGCTTTGCCAAGATGTTTGCGCCGCATAAACTGTCCACATGTGTGGTTTACTATCCTTCAGTGTTAGCTGAACGATGTAAATTAAGCGGAAAGAAATAAGACCTGCACCTTGTCGGCACATCGTCATTTGTTTCGGGTGTCGTGCTGTGCCAGTGCCTTCTCTATAACTTTATAGAGAAGGCACTGGCTGTGCCTGCACCGCTGAACTCACGCTGCACAATTTCTGAACCTCACGTGCGCAATGAGGGTGGCGATTTGGGCTTGTTGGTATGGTTGCATGATGATGGATGGTAGCGCAGACAACGAACACGGACAAGAGAAAGCACATAGACACAACACAGCGCTAACTTTCAACAACAGTTTATTACACGCAGATCTCCGTGGTGTATGCGATCCACCACGCCAACGTCGCACGTGCGTAGCTCTAAAAACCATCAAATATAACCAACGCGCGTGTTCCAATACTTTACAATTTAATATTTTTCAATCTTTTTCTACTTTTTCTTTCTTCCTTTTATCCATGTTACCACAAACCCTATCGCGAATACATGTAATCAAGTTCCTTATCTGTCAACACCACTGATGGGCTGCTCACACACGTGTCACCTAGCTCTGCAATTCTGCCGGCCTCCAATACCAACCGCGTCATCTCGTGCCTACTTCTATTGATTATAACCGTTTCCTTGAATTTCGGTGTGCAATTACATCTCTGGCAATGAAGGGAAAGAAAACCATCAGGAACAACACTATTTACTTTGTTATTGTGCTCGCGCAAGCGATCGTTTATGCATCTACTGGTCTGACCGATATAACACTTTCCACAAGTAAGTGGAATGAGGTATACAACACACATGATGCACTCCACAAATAGGTTTCTATGTTTCTTTTGGCATACATTTGATTTTCCCTTGTCTGGTCTTGTGCTTCTGCAAAGACTCACCAACTTATTGGGTGCCGAGAAAACTACGTTAGTGCCACATGTGTGTTGTATACCTCATTCCACTTACTTGTGGAAAGTGTTATATCGGTCAGACCAGTAGATGCATAAACGATCGCTTGCGCGAGCACAATAACAAAGTAAATAGTGTTGTTCCTGATGGTTTTCTTTCCCTTCATTGCCAGAGATGTAATTGCACACCGAAATTCAAGGAAACGGTTATAATCAATAGAAGTAGGCACGAGATGACGCGGTTGGTATTGGAGGCCGGCAGAATTGCAGAGCTAGGTGACACGTGTGTGAGCAGCCCATCAGTGGTGTTGACAGATAAGGAACTTGATTACATGTATTCGCGATAGGGTTTGTGGTAACATGGGATAAAAGGAAGAAAGAAAAA